CGTAGCTTGCAGAAGGGCACTCTTGCGAGCTTGCACATTTTCGTTAAGGACTATTTTGCCCTGACATATGGGGGGTTAGTAGGGGAGTAGGAAGACAACTGAGGACACCTATTGTGAAGGCGCTGTGTGTTCTGTTGATCTGGGGCATTAGCCCTGTGACAGCCAGCTGAGGGCACTGAACCCTGTTGGTTTTGTGTGAAGGGCTGACAGAGGCCCTGGAACTGGAAGTAAGCTGACAAGCCCTGGAACTGGGGAAGGCAGTGAAACCCTGCAGAGAGACTGAGCATGTTATTGCCTGGGCCAGATAAGACGTGGCTTAATGATGAGAAGGGGTAGGAAGGCATCTAAGCCTCCCAAATTGATACAAGTTAAGAACAAGGCTTGGCAGGCTAATACAGGGGAATGCTGGAGTGCCAAGTAAGGCCAGGTCATCTGCAAGAGGGTACCAGAGCCAGGGGCCTTCCCCAGGAGGATATCTGCAATTGGGAGTGATAGAGCAGGTCACAACATAATGTTTCTGACATGCCAAAGCCAACAGTCATTGTCTAAGTGGGCAAAAAAGACTACTTGCCTTAGAGACTACATTCTTGTTATAATCTATTATCTCTTAGAACGAAGCTGATCAAACTGCCCTTGTGTAGCACAGCCCTTCTAACTGAGGTACCACATGATTCTTTCACCATTGCAATGAGGCACTCCATTCCTTTTCCCTTCAGACAAATGATGGCCATTTCTGGAAAAGAACCAAAGGGGAAATGTTGTGGGGCAGGGTTAGCTCCCCACTGTGCAGCAAGCTTGTGTAGAAAGCTGCTTATTAAAGGAAAAAATCCTGCTCTGAATTGTACAGGAACTCCTTTTCCTGCCAGAGCACTACAGGGAGTTGAGAGCATACTGAAGGTCTGGGCTACTTATGTACTGCCCCTGCCATCTCTGCTTATGCTGTCCTTTGCAGTTTGTTAGCTAAGAGTACACACATAACTCGTTCTCAGAGTCCTCCCAGTTCATATGGGTAACTGGCTCTGAGTCAGCAGAATTACTCTGTGCTGACCCTGGGCACAAGCTGTCCCAGGGGGCAGGTCAATTCAGTATTTTTAAATAGAAAATCCAAATTTCCCTGGGATGGGCTAGACCTCATACTGAGGCATGGTGGGAATGCAGGAGATGAAGAGGAAACATTGAGAGAAGGCCTTGCAGCTCAGTTCTACCCCTCAGCAGGACATTCTTATTCAGAGTCCTAGTACTTCTGTACTCAGAGGCTTAGGTCCCTTCCTACTCCTTCTCACCATCCAGTGCACATCAGCCTTGTAAGCAGCGTGACCTGTCAGCATACTACTTTTCTCTCCAGCATGCAGATACTGTGGTGCATTGTGGGACCAGTACAGAATTTGCTCCAGCCAGCACTGCCGGCAGCTTGTCCTGACATGCTTGAGCTGTCGAGAGAAAGGCTTCACAGCTTGTTGTTCTGTTTGTCAAGAGAAAGGGCTTAAGTTGGCTTCACGGTCTTCTAGCCCAGTGTTCAAGGAAGAATGTGAATGTACAGACCAACGGCAGCAGGTACCAGTAGAATACATCTAACAGCATCTCTGGTGCAGTGGAGTTCCCCTTTGTAGTGTAGTTGGTGTTTACACTTCCACATAGGGGCTGCACCTCCCAGGGTCAGATGTCCATTTTCAGTCATTTTAATCACAGTTTGGGCATTCAGATGCCTCAGGTGGCACCAAAGATCTCAGCCCTAATCTAATCTGCACTTGGGCTAGGTTGCACCAATAATACCCTCCCCTGCCTGAGTATAAATTAGCAAAGTATCATATCAAACAATGGTGCTATACCACTCTTATTGTTTTGTTTTTTTGAAGTGAAGTTATTTTTCTGCCTCCTACAATATGATGGTATCCCATGATGAATGGTTGCCTACAACCAGAAGAAAACGAAAAAAGTAAAGGAGCAGGCAAGGTCTACATTCTCCTTCCCATAACTGAGACACATGTCTATGTATCCCATTCCCTCCCCACACACCATGTATACTGGTGTTGGCAAGAAATCAAAGAGAGACGGAGACAACTTATTTATTCCTGGGACAGTGGGCTGCCTGCGGTTAAGGCCATTTTTCCACATGAACATAAGCAGCTCTGTTCTACTCTCCAAACTCAAGCTAGTGCTTCTGCAGTTATCAGGCATTGACTAAGTAGCTCAGCAGTGGCTGTGGGATGTTAGCTTGACTCTCAGCTCTCACTAATGACTGTTAGAAGAAACAGCATACAACCTTGAAAGGACCCAGTGCCATAGATTTGAAAAGTGATTGTGTCCGGCCTCCCAGAAATGACTGTCAACCGAGGCTTGTTAAAGCATCTGACAAAATGGAATTCAGCAGTTTTTATTAATATTTTGGCAGATTGAGCACTAATGAAGAAAATGTTCTTTGAAACTTCTCCCCACTTTTTGTACTAAGTGGTAATGTCCAATAATGGCTTTTCATAACAACGGTTTTTAAAAATAAAATATTTTTTTCTCAGGTTCCTGCAGTGACCTGTTGTCAGATACAGCAGGTTTATTTCCAAGTAGGGGCTAACGGTTTCACTTTACAGCGCTGTGGTAGGAAATGAAGGAATTGATAGCTGAAGGATTGGGCACTAGTTGTAATTAAGGCCTGTCATTTTATTCATAATGGTGTTACTATGACTAAGTGCTCCAGGTTTCTACTTGGTGTGGTTTACTTTTTGTGAAGCACATCTTTGAAATGTCTTGGTTTCTGCTTTGGGAGCCTTCCTCAGAATTCATATTTTAAAAGGAATTGCTTAGTGTCTTGTTCAGTGTCCATGAAATGATTGAAAGGGCTCCCAGAGGTTTTTTGAGCAGATCCCCTCCCTCCCCCCATTCCTCATCTGCTATCGTCCTGCACTCATCTGACATCAGTTATGTTGTCAGACCTTTTCTTACTGTGTTTGAGAGTGGCACATTTGTAGTAGACATTCTCAATCACACTCTGCAGTCCTGGTTTAGAGTGCTGCCCGTAGCCAGGTTTGGGAATTCAAAACTACAAGTGTAGTTTCAGGTGTCCTTTTAAAAAGAACCATCAAGTACAAAAATATCTCAGCTTGCTGGAAGTATTGGAATCCTAGTCGAAGGCATTTCTCCATTCCCTTCTCAATGCTAAATGTGAAACCATGTAAATTTTATTTTAGAGCTGAACTTTTAAAATAGGAAGGATGAAAAAGAAGACTCAGCACTTCCAAAGTATTTATTTTCTGAAGTATTGTACAAAGATTCTATGTTGGTGCCTGGAAACCTTTAACCTCTTGGAAGACAAATGACAGCAGAGATATGGCTAATTCCCAGCCCCATACCTGCTAACAAGGAGTGGACAAGAGAGTTTCCAGTACTGGAACTGCTACCTTAAAACCCCCATACCATCCTGCCCCCTGCTGCCCAGAAACCTCCCTGAGATGTAGGTCAAAATTCTTGGCCACAATGTAGCAAGGTGCATGATGTGAGTGGTCAGGTAGCCAGGCTGATTAATGTGAAGGATCTGCATAGGAGGCCTGAGGTGCTCACAGCCAGCCTCTGTACATGGCAGGGGGAGCAGAAGGCTCAATTGTTTTAGTGTTCATTGGGGGAGAGAGCAGGAGAGGAAAAGGCCTGGTTTGTTCTGGAATTGGGTGGGTCAGAGACCCAGCGGCTGAAGAGAGGCCTTGTGAAAAGCAAGTGACAGATCCTCCCATGTGAGCAACCCCTTTGTCCTGGTCTCTTGCCCATTTATTAAATGGACAAAAAAAAAGCACTCTGACAGCTCCCTTACACATCCAATCAGAGTTTAATCAATTCGAAGGACAGATGCAGCAACTCTTCAGGGAAACTACATTAGCTCTACATAATAGCGCTGCGTGCATCTCAGTGTTTCCAGCCAGGAGAGTTGGGACCCTGCCAGGTACTGGGGGGGCAGTGTTTTGATTCACCTTTTTCTCAAGAGCAACTAAAACAAAAGCTTGACCTCTTCACCTTCATTTCCTACTGCTCTTCTGCTTTGTTTGTATATAACCTGAAGTACTTCACCATGATTTTGCCTTGACTGCATCTCCTTTACCAGTTAGGGAGTGCACCCCACCTATGTTTTTCCAGTAGAGTCAATGGCACTGTTTTGAGAGCAAGGGCTCACCTTTGTGAGTCTGTCTTTTCCAGATCAGTCTGGAGTCTCCTGAAGCATGTTTCAAAGGTAAAATTAGTTCAGATACTGCTCTGGCATGGAAAAGGACAAGGTTATCACTTTTAAAAAGGCTATTTTAATTCTTATTTTGAGAAAAAGTCTATGCTCAAGTTTTCATGGCAGGGTTCTACTCAGCTTTGGGTTCCTACAGTCAGTGGGACCAGCAGTATTTCCCAGTTTAAGATCCATTTCCAGGCCCTGAAAGTCACTTGGAGGGCTGAATTAGTACCATGTAAAGCAGAAATGAACTTTCTAATTCTGAAATGACATTTTAATTATTTTGCATAAAGCCCATGGGGCATATCTGGTAGGAGCGGGGTAGACTAAATGCCAGTCATTTTGATTCTGTTTCCTATGTTAATGCCTCTTTATTATTTTCTTTAGTCTTTTGCACATTTTTTTTTACAAAAGACACTGTTGAAGCCTGAAGTCACTGACAGTACATTTATTTTGATTTGAGGAGCAACAGCCATACTCTTAGTTCCTAGTTTGTTTGAAAATAAAATATTCAGCAACATTGTGAACCAGAGCTAAACCCTATACTCCACACTCAACAAAAATTCCATTGAAACGGGTGGGAGTTTTGCTGGAATAGATAGTGCAAGGACTGTAGAGCTCTGCTCTTAGCCCAGGCATACAGAAGGCTTGTTACCAAGTGAAACAGGCTGCCAGGATGTGTTCTTTATGGTACAGATTAAGGCCCCAATCCTGCAACAGTTCTGCATGACCAGACACTCCTGGTTCTACAAGGACTTACCATAGTCTGTGGGTGTCTGCATGGATGTAATGGTCCACGTGCATGGATCCAAATGCATGATCAGAGACTATATACATCTACTGGAACATCTTCCCTTAAAGATCAGACAGTAGATTTTATTGCTATACAAAAGCCCTTTTCTAATTGTGCCCTGAACCATACAGGTTCACATGCACGCTATTTTCAAGTAACTGCTTTAGTAGGGCATAGTGTTCAGAGTCTCATCTGTTCAGATGTTTGGATGTTAGCCAGAAGCATCACCTTTAAGGTTAACTGCCAGGGCAGTGGCTGCCCAGCCAAAAACCAGAACTGAGAGTGAGGAGTCCATTATGTTCAGAGCAGAAGCACCAGGTGCACACATTTAGCGTTAGCAAATGGGCATAGGGAGCAAGGCAAATTCTGACATCAGCTTCAACAGAGGCAGGGTTTCATTCCCCATCTCTTATAGCAACAGTATTGCTTAACCATAGTTAAAAAAGGAAGATACTAATGCTCTGTTTTTGTGACTCTCTTGTTTAAACATTCGTGGCCTTACGTTCCTTTTGTTTTCAGCAGGGTAAAAAGGCACGGATTATTTTATGAAAAAGAGATGCTTTTGAAATCATGTTTGAAATAAGTAATTCAGCCAATGTTGGTAATTAATTGCAGTGCACAAGTTCACGAATTCAAAGGGTATTTTAGGATACTAGCAATGCTTGTCAAAAATGTCCGTTTCTCTATAATTTGAGATCAACTTGAAAAAATAAAGTATTTTTTTAATACTTCTACAACATGTGTGGGTGGAGTAGTAATTTTTTTCTACTCATGCAAGCACATCCTAAATATCTCTGAAGCACAATACAGGAAATACTTTGAGAAATTGTCATGAGTTAAGTAAGTCACTTTTGCCCTGCCACGTACACTAAACTGAGGCTGCTTAAAACTGACCACTTGCCTGGAGTGATACTGTTTTGATTCTAAAGAAAACATCATTAGTCATATTTGATAGTATCTTCAACTACAATCACTAGTTAATTTAAATCTTTAGTGCATAATGATGCAATAGAACTGAGGCACCACAGATAGTTTGTGCAGGCACTTTGCCTTCTGATTTCCACACTACAGCACAAACTGCTACACAGCCTGGACAGCCACAAGCTACACCCCACTTCGGCACTTGGGAAAAATAGGCCCATTCAGGTCTGCAAGTCTCCTCTTCCTCACTAAAAAGAAAAAGACAAAAAGACATGAGTCAGTCAAAGCAACTACAGCACCTGTGGACAGCAGAAGTACCTAAAGAATTTAAACTCGTGCAAGGAAAGAACTTGGGATTTTTCCCCTGATTTATAGGGAACATCACATCATTTAGTCTGACTTCTTCTATCAGATGTTATTCTTGTTGATCTCAGTTATAAAGCTTATATTCTAAAAAGGCATTGCCTGGCTCAATACAGGGGCTGGGGGTAGGATGTTCGCTGCTACTGCTGGGAGTCTCCACTGCATTCCTAGTACCGCTGAAAATAGGTGCTTCATTTCTGATTTGAAAATGTCTGGCTCTAACTTCCAGTCATACGTTTGGATTTTCAAACTATCCTGGCATCTTCTGTGACAACTGAAAACTTCAATTTTTGTCTTTATCAGTTTAAAAATCTAGGCCACTTAAAACGAGCTCAAAGATTAAGTAATTATTCTGGGTTTCTGCTGGAGATGAGACATTATTCATGGAGTTCAATAGGAGCTGCTAGATATCACATCTCATGGCTTCTCTCAACCTATTGGAGATAGATCCACAGCAGCTGGTGGAGGCCTGTAACTAACTATATAGAGAGCAAGGCTCCTCATCCAGCTCTGACCTTTTATAGTTGTTAAGAGGCCTTTCTACCTCTGGAAACAGACTCCTGCAAGAATAATTCTTTCCTAATTGAAGCCCAAGCTGCATCTTTCTGCTTTCCTTCATACACTCATGAGCTTCTTCACCAGACAGGCCAGAGAATTTGGGGATGGGACTAGTAGGGGGCAGGGCCCGCTGCAGAATCCAGGCCCCAGGTACCTCCCTGGACATGGCTGTCAGCAACAAGAGAGTAAGCAAGGGCTGTGCCAACACCGCACCACTTGCCATGCAGCCACTTGCATCATTTCCACCATTGCCTCAACCAGCCCTGCTTACCCCACTGCTACTGCCAGCCTTGCCTCAGCTGCTGCTTGCCTCATCGCTTCCTTTGGCCCTGTGGATCTGGCCTGCAAAGAGCACAGTGGTCTGGATCCAGCCCGGACATGGGGTAAGTTTGACACACCTGCTCTAGTGAATATTTCCAGTAAATGTTTCCACGGAAGAGAACATAACATATTTGAAATAAATACCAAGGAAAAGAAAAAGTAGGTAAGAGAAGAACACAGAAATTAGCTCACAGGTGGAATGGAAGAGACTCTAACAAGCTGGCTCAGATAAAGTACTGTAAAGGATGAAAGTGACTGCTGCTGAGTCGAGAAGAGCAAAATGGAAGCTAGAGAAATGAGTAAAACCAAGTTTGTGTAGAACCTGGTAGTGGCAGTTGACAGCACTGGTAGTGGAGCACAGAGAGCTATTGCCAGTAGGAAAAAAAAAACAAAACTATCTATACTTATACATCTTCCAGGTGCAGAGTTGAGAAGTTATGCCAGAGGCCATCAGATCGATGTAAACGAGCTGCAAACAAGAATCAAATCAGACACCTTCTGTGCTGGTCTCATCATCCAAGAGACAGACAAGGTTACTGACTCATGAACCCAAAGAAGCAGGAGTAGAGATACACAAAGCCTTGCAACTTATAGATGAAAAATATTGTGGATTGCTTTGTTGCAACAAAAGGAAAGCAGCAAATATTCCAAAGCTTGTCAAAACCAGTTCTGATCCAGGCATTAATTAATTGTGGATGTCCTTTTAATCCAAAGAGCCCATCCTTTCACATGAAGTGCATAAACGTCAAGGGGCTACACAGTTCTGTATAAGCACTTAAGTATAACTTTACACACGTGTTTGTTGATGTTAGCAGGACAGCTGGAGTGTGCATAAATGTAAGTATGTACTTAAGTGCAGAGTTACAGCCCCAGTTTGCAAGTGCTTTGGGAAAAAAGAATGCCAGAGTCTACAAGAGCACTGGACTGGTTGAAGATCAATTGGAACAATCATTTTATTGACTGGCCTAACATTCCCAGTAATTTAAAAGTGCAAACACAAAATAATATGCTGATAGCTGTATGAAAGAGAGAGCAGCCAGCTAGGACATACTGATTTTTAGAACAGTATGCTTTACGGCCGAGTACTTAAGCCAGACATTCGTGTATTCCATCATTTCTTGGGCACCACAACAATGTGGGGGAGGTGCAATTATAATTTAAAAAATAATTTGACTTTTTATATAGATACCAGCAGACCAGATTCATTCAAAGCAACAAGCCAAACCAGATTCCCTGTTTTTCACCCCAGTTACAGCTGGGATTAATCTGATGCATGTGGGAAGTGCCTGGAGATATCTGTGTCTCTAACCATGAAGTTCACTGCCTCCAAATACCATTAGAAACACTTTCAGAACCAGGTATCCTTGCAATCAATAGTGCATTCCTTTGGGATCTGAAAACCTGACTTGCCCCAAATCCTATTTGACCCCATCCAACAAGTCCCATTGAGTTAGTGGAACTGCAGTAGGAGTCAGATCCCTCTCACCCTGAGAAAGGACCCAAGTGATCAGCCCCAGAGTGAGCAAGGACTTGATTCAAATGTAGTTCCTTCGTACTTCAAGCAAATTTTGATCTGAATTATTACATTTTCATAAACTATGACCAAAAACATCACCCAGGCCATGAAGGGAAAACATACACCAGCTACATTTCAAAGCGGATTGGAAAGCTACTGATAAGTGCACCATTGAGGACCAGTGAGATGCAGGAAGAAAGGAATAATTCAAAGTGGGCTCACAAGGGAGACTCACCAAGGTCATTATTGTTCATCATGGCATTGGCGGCACGAAGCCGGGGTCCTTGCTGTGTAAAATGATACCCAAACTTCAAAAGGGAAGTGTTTTTTTCAAGCATGTTTGCAATTTCCATTTCCACCTTGTTACCCAGTGGCTGGCTCTTTGATGAAAGAAAATACAAAATTAGCTTAGAACTTGTTCTAACTTTGGTCTTTAATTCACTAACTGCCTTTTATTTGTTTTGTAAATTCCCTTTGAGGATTAGAACTGAGAGATCAGATCTCTCTCCAATCTCTGAGTTCTGGTCCTCAAAGGGAATTTACAAACCACCTTTCACTGACAAGCCTACAAACTTCATTTCATCATCTTACTGGATACAAAAAATCATGGACTAAATATAGACATTGGGACTTATGACATATGCCTAACATCTGACTCCCCAGGTACCTCTCCACTATTTACCAGCTATGTTCATTCCCCTTCCCCACCCCCCACCCTCGCCAATCTGTCTCTCACCCACTGGCTCCTCAATTTACATCTTCACTGACTGGCTTTCTTGCTTGCAGACCAGCCTTTGGCTTCTTTACTATTCCTTTCATCCAGGAAGAGCACACACCAACTGCAGATGCTTCCTCAGCCTGATGAAGGGGATTTATACCTGAAAGCTTGCAAAGAATTTTTCTAACTATTTGAGCTGGTCTAGTAAAAGATATCAGATTTACCCAGAGAACCTTGTCTTCCCAGGACATTTCTGTTCTAAGGAAGTCATGTAGCTTTCTCTGGAGAAAGGATAAGGCCTGGGTCTTCCCCAGTGTGGAAATCCAACCTTTCAGCCTATGGTGGTTTGGCAGATATCAGGGCCTAGTGAATCCCTTTCTGTTAGTACAGCTGCAGAGGCCACACTACAAGAGGCTTCTCCAGAACAGGTTTTGCTGTTTCTTCTCCAGGTTTTGCTATTTTTGATTTCCTTCCCTCAAGGTGTTCATAGCAAAGGAGAAGGAAGCCACATAAGCTGCAGCACAAAGTGTTGTTTGCAGTACCCTCTGCACTCTCCCACTTGGACCATGAGATGAACTCCATTAGCTGTGAGGAGCACTAGGCAGTTATCCTTTATGTGGGTTAGACACTTGACAAGCACATTAAACATACCCTTCCTTATCACCCCCCAACAAGTTGTTTTCCAGTTAGAGTGACTAGCAGGAAAACCTTAGATGAGTCAGTCATATTTTCCACTACAGGATCCCCGTACCACCCATGACATGGTTTTGTCTAACAGTTCAATACTGCCTTGGTTTTACCTGGTTGTCAATTCTGAGCTCTATCAGTGAAGTATTGTGCTGAAGTGCTTCAACAAGGGCAAGGATGCCTGAGCCAGAAATGAAGTTGGATTCCACATTCAAGCTCTTTAATACGCTGTTGGCTTTTAGCATGTCTGCCAGAGCCTGGCACCAAGAGGAAAGAAGCAGTGTTTAATCATGCCTTGAGGGATGGCCCCACAGTCTGGGGATTTGGGACAGCAAGGGTCAGTCCCCAGCGCCTCTGTACCTTTCTGGTGTCACTCGATCTCCATCTGTGTCTCATTAAGGAAACTGAACCAGAAGGCACCTCTCTTGGGCCAGACACCAGTCCCTGCATTCACAAAAGCTGAGGATGGACCATGCCCAGCATAGTCCTGTGGCATCCTGGAAGGGTGTGTTGTTGCTCCCCATGCTGGCTGGGCCTTCTCTTTGCACTGGGACCCCACCCTGTCTCAAGCCTTTCCACAGTGGCCCACAAAGCCATCTGCATACACACACTGCCCACAGCCTCAGGACCAGGGAGATGCCTAGTCAGCAAGGTAAAAGCACAACTGGTTGCCCCTCCAGCTCCCTGCATTGCAGTACACACAGATGCCCATGACACTTGGGCAGCAGAGAGCCCTATACAATGCACCTGACACCACTGGGTTGCCTCACCAGATAAAGGCACCCAAAATAGGCACCTGAAACAAACACACACTTACAGTGTTAAAGTATCCAGAGGGACTCTGCTGTGCTAAGTGCTCCAAAAATGTGCAGAAGTGACTGTACCCACCCCATAGCTGACAATCTGAATTCCACCACCATTGTTTTAACTGCTTCATTGTCAAGCAAAGGACACCACCTTATTTCCTAAAGCTCAAAGTCAGTCTTCGTTTACTAAAGCTTGGGGCAGTCTATCTCCTGGGGAATGGGAGGCTACACCAGCCACATTACGGGGAGGGGTCTGTGCCTTGAAGGCAGCCATCACAGACTGGGAGCCGTGTCCCTGATGAGTTATGTAAGCACAACAGCAAGAACTGCCAGGCCAAAGGGCCCTGGCAGTGGAGGGGAAAGAAGCTTCAGTTGGATTAAGCTGGAAAAAAAGCTGGATCCCGGAGACTGATGGCAAGTAAGCCTAGGGAAGGGCCAGTGCTGGGAAAGGCCCAGAAGAGCAGGCTTGGTGAAAGACTTGTGCTGGAAGGAACCCAGCAGAGACTAACTAAGTTTTGAGCACCCTGCAGCAGTAAGGGGAGCAGAGAGACTGCAATTAGTGAACTCCTTGGGAGTGTGTGGACTGTCTTGGGTGAGTGAGTGCCTTGGAGCCCTTTGGAGGGAGGACCAGCAAGAAGACAGGACCAAGTGAGGCCCAGGGACCCTGTGCTGTAACAGAGAGACTCCCACAGTGACTGCTTTCTGACCAGACTGAGGGGCGATGCCAAACACCACCACCGAGGCATGGCAGGTGAGTAGGCAGGTGTGACCTGACCCCTAGGTGTCAGTAGGGAATCCTAGGGACACAATCCCCACATGGTTACACAGCGTGTCCTCTACCTTCTTCTTCCATGGGTCTCTGCTCTTGCTTCCCCAGTGTTTGCCTAAAATGCTTCCCATCAGAGCCTCAATCACAGCCTCAGGCAAATCTTGCTTTGTGCATTTGCCCTATTAAAGACTCCTTCCCATTACCACACCTTGAAATGTTATACACTGCCCCCAGCCCCTACACCTTGCTCAGATGACTTCATATATCACAATGCACTTCTATAAACAGCTGTTGTAATTCACCCCTTAGTTTCACCTTCTACCCTCTCCAGTGATACTCCCTACACCTCTGTATGCAGCATAAAATTCCGTCCCATTGTGCTAATGTGTAAGGACCCAGCACATTACAATATATACTTCTAGAAGATGACAGAGCTGGAGGGTTAGCTGTAAAGGGAATATATGGCCTCATGTTTTCTTGCTTCTTTATCAAGTAAAGACCTAAGATTTTTCAGCATTTTTAAGTGTTAGAAACTCAGATCTTGCCTGTGAAGCCACATTTACAAACTTAGATCTTGCCTGTGATCTTGCCTGGACGGCTCTTCAGGACAATTTAAGAACTTGCAGGATTATGAGATCATACATGACAAATGACTGAGATTGTGCAATTGGAAAGGGAAGATATTTAAATTTAAAGTTATTTAGGTTTTTCACTTGCTTTTATCAATACCTGCTAAATTTAAATGCCTGGAGACATGGGAGAAAAAGATGTCCTTGTGAAGGATATAACACTTCCTCTGCCCCAGCAGAGAGCTGAGAAAGTGCCTCTGGGATTTGCAAATATTCTGATATTCCAAAGGTATAGAATATTCAGATTAAAAATAAACAAACACTCTTCGCAGTCTCAATAAAATGTAAAGGACCAATAAGCAAGTCGTTACAGGTCACTTTAAAAGAAATGCAAAGTCAGACGACAATACCATGAACAAATTTCCTACAAATGTCCACCCATCCTCTAATAGTATGGCATCATACTTACCAAAGCAACAGGATCATTGCTCCTTGTTCCTACTATGCTAAACTTGTGTACATAGGTGTTAGTCTTGAGTGCTTTTGCATAGGCTTTTAAAGTGGGTATAGGAATATTCTGTGGAAATAAATCCAGAAAAATGATGTTGTGCCACCATGACCATTCAGATTCCTGGTATATAATATAAACAAAATGTCAGATACAGAGGTGTTTAACAGACCTGAAAGTGTCACATCTGTAAAGTGACCTGGACACAAAGCTCAGAGACCTGAGAAAGGGTACTGCACACTCAAAGCTTGTCTATATCCCACCCAACTAAACAGTTGGTCCAATAAATGATATCACCCACAAAAATCCTTGCCTTTAGACAAAATCAGATACATCAGGAAGAGACTGTAAAATAGAAACTGTAAATCATACAGAATTACAACATTCGACCAGTGGCCAGCATGTCCTAACATGCATGGGAGCATTTCAATTCTCACCCCCGGTTAGCTAGAGACTCACATCCTGGATATAGGCAAGTTACATCTCTGCGTTTTTAATTTCCCTATCTACAAGACAGGAATAACACAACTTACCTGTTCACCTCTCATGGTTGGTGAAGGCATTTAACTAGTTCATGTCAGCAGGCGATACTGAGCATGTCAAGTGCTGCAGTTTTGCCTCTTAATCGTACAGGCAATTTTCAAGTCACAGCTGATCCAGCATGTAGATCTGCACATCCAAGGATCCCTTGGCAGAATCAAGGCCTGACTTGGATTTGCAGAGCTGTTCTTGGGAGGTATAGAGTATCCTCAACTCTGGCCCAAACACCTCAAAGAATCAGGCCCACTTTCCTCCCTCAGTCACTTTTAACTTTATTAATGAAATGCCTCTTAAAGTAAAAACTTTCCATCTTTTTTTTTCAACCCAGTAAGTAATTATTGAGAAGAGTGTGATTTAAAACAAACCAAAACCAAAACATTTCCCCATTCTGAGTTCTCACAGGGTAAAAATAGTCTTTTCCTGCATTAAGTATTTAAAAACCCATTTCAGATTCAGATATTTCAAGTGATTCTAAAAAATTAAGTTTACTGTATCCATGGTCTCAAATGAGGATAGCTTACAGATATCCGTTGTCTTTAAAACAACCATTGTTAATGCTATTTTGAGAGTAAATCAGAGCAGGGGAAGTGTCTGATCTTCTTTGGTCCATGCTAAACAAAGCAGCTCTCAAAATCTAATGGGTCTGATTTTTTTGGCAAGTGCCAAGCGTTTGCTCTCAATTGCCACATCTGGACATGCGTGGACATTTGGTTCCGTAGGGACAACTAGCAGCGGTGCACCCTGTGCTGCCGCTAGTTGTCTTTGGGGAACATTTGTGCCATGTGTGCTCTGGCACATGGCAAGTTACTCCGAGTGGGACAGGGGAAACTTGGGTCAGCACTGGGCTGGCCTCAGCAGCTTTACTGGGATCCTGGGGGCCTCCTGGAGATGTAGCCATGTTGCTCCTGCTGCGTGGAGCCTGGCCAGCAGCAAAGTGCAGCTCCAACCAGTCAAGCTCCAGCTTTGGGCAGTACTTGCTGCTGCCCCATGTGCCACTCCACCCTTTTTTCCCATGGTTTTTTTTGACCCCTGGATATCCAGGGGTCAAAAAACTCTCAGCGCTGCGTAGCTGCGGTGCCACAGGCCACACGGCTGCACTCATCTGGATGCAGCCAATAACTATAGCTCCTGTCAGATATCTCATACTGTCCCTTAAAAGTCACTAGTAACATTGGAAAATGTAGGCCTGTGATTATGGAAATTCAAAAAATGGTTGAATATACACAGGTAACTGGGTGTATATATATATATTTTTTTTTTTTAAGGTCTGCGCACTTGCAGTTAAAGGTATCGATACTGATAATTGTGCAGATAGTAACTACATGTTACATGCACAAGCATATATATATAGATATATACACACACACACACGCGCGCGCGCGCGTCTTATAGATTGGAGACAAGATAGGAAAGGAGCTGAACCTCTTCTTGTTCAGCCAGTGTGAATGAACCTGATGTTGTATGCACATATGTGCACACGGAGGTGGTCTGCAAAGTTGCATTTGTGCCCTGATTTGCTTCTTTATGTTGCATAAGAGAAATGAAAAAAAGTTTTTGAGAAACAGCTGGCAGTTTTCCTTTTGTTTGTACATGAGAAAAGTCTCAGGAACATATTTTCTCCCAGACCTTGTCAAAACTTTCTCTTCTACCTTGGCCAATTTAGCCAGAAACCCAAGAGAACAGGGACAATTTCTCTGCCTTTGCAGGTCCCCTTTAAACAGAAAAGCCTATCAGTTTAGATTTTATATAGGTAAAACTGGTAACGCAGCAGTGCAGTTTCTAGCAGCAGCATTGTCTGTGTAAAGTGCAGCAGGAAGGAGCACGTACCTTAATATTATTAAGGTTGACTTCCTCGAGTTCAGGATCATTGTTCTTTATTCGTTCCAAAGTTTCTTCAACATCTGTTGAATTTGGTTCTTCATCAGGAACTGGTTTGTATTGAGTGGGCTTAATCACACCTGCAATTATAAAGGAACATTTTAAGAAAGAAAAAAACCCACATACAAATGGTCAGGAAGAAGGACATTGTCTCTAGGACAGTATCAGTGCTAGTGGCTATTTTTTACTCTCTTTAAAGACATTTGGAAAGGGGGAACCTGTCAGGTTCCTGAAGGTTCTAAAAAAGGATGTGGAGGAATATGCTGAAGGAACTGCCAGGAAAAACCTCTGCCAAGCCTGACTCAGGGGAAACTTTATACTATGGAAGACTCCCAGAGCCAGGAGAGACAAAGATGTCACAACCTTGTTTAGTGCCCTGAGCAATGTCTGGCAAGGTAGGAAGGCCTTGGACTGCCTTATGTCACCCTTGTCTGTTTTCCTTTTAACCTGTTGAGGAAGTAACTGTGGAGGGATCTTCTTCATTTATTTATAGACATGAGGCCCTTGAAAGCTTAGGCATGCTGGGAGGTGAAGTGTGATAGGACATCATTGTAAATGTCAACCCAAGTGCAGATGTGGACAACAGAGAGATTCATCCATAAAAGTGCAACCCAAGTTAGACAATGACATTGACATTAGACAAAAGTGGAAGCAGTAAACAGAGAGGGAGTTTGACTAGGGAATTCACCTGAGATGACAGTGAGGAAGCAGGAGACTCTGTGTGTCTGTGAGTGTGTGCAAGGGCCCTAGTGCAGGTGTGGTGGGCAGGTTCTTGTGGTGTCTTTTTTCCCCCCATTCCCTCTCCCACCTGCCACCTCTTTTTTTTTTTTTCCTTCTTACAGCATAGGTGTTCTCCAGGGAGCAAAGGAGGCAGAAATGGAGTCTGGGTCAGCTGCTGTGACCTACATGTGATGTGCCATGTTTGTGTTCCTCCTCCCAGAGGATCAGGAACACTTCATCTGCATCAAGTGTAAGCTGGTGTCTGCCCTGGAGGAAAAGATTCAAAGGTTGGAGGCATGGGTATCCATACTGCATTGCATCAGGGACCAGGAAAATTATTTGGACAAGAGTTATGAGAAGATGATACTGGGGTGGTCAAAGGGCAATGAGGAGAAGTGGCAGCATGTGACTACGCAAAGTAGGAGGATACCCAGAATTGATGAGCAGTGGATTGAAGTCAGCACTCAAAGCTTACAGGCACTTTGTGGTAGAACTGCTGAGAAAGAGGCAGAGGAGAGGACATCTGAAAGCACGAGGCAAAGTAGGCAGCAACCTAGAGAGCAGGAACTGCAAGTCCCCAAGGACAGGGGCTCCAGGACCACTGTATTAAGGCAGAGAACAGTGGTGGTGGTTATTGATTCCCATCTGCAGGGGACAGAGGCACTGATTTGTTGTCCAGATTTGGGGTTGAGGGAGGTTTGCTGCCTGCCTGGAGCCCAAATTCAGGACACTGCAGAGGGCATCTATACATGTGCTTTTGGAGGGGGGGATGTGCTTTAATTAGAGTGGCTCTTGGGGATGTGGCTCTCCGGGATGTTTTAATTACAGCAGCTTTTGAAAGCCACTTTAATTAAAGCACACACAGGATATCGAGTATTCAGCATCCCATGTTTCAAAATGGCAACTGGGGCGCTTTAACTAAAGCTTGACAAGCCATTTTGAAATGTGGGGATGCTGAATACCTGAGATACTGCAGCATGCAGGAGTGTTCTGATTAGAACACTCCAGCAGACTCAATTTATTAGAACACACTGAAGCTTGTGTAAAAGTACCCAGAGAGACTGCCAAGGCTCATCCATCCTTCGAATCACATCCCCTTCCTGCTCATCCATATAGGCACTAGTGATACTTCCAGGAATGATGCTGAGCAGATTGAGGCTCTTGGCAGTAAGGTTAGGGGGTTTGGAGTACTAAGGAGTTATCTCATTGATACTTCCCATGGAAGACAAGGTCCAAGCAGAGATCACTGTATCCTGGCAGTGAATGCATGCCTGAGCAGCGAATGCATGGCTGAGATAGTGGTGTTGACATAAAGGCTTCGGCTTCTTTGACAATGGGTTGATATTCTTGGGAGGAGGACTGATATCAAGAGATGGGATCCATCTGATGAGAATGGGGAAGAGCATCTTTGCGCATCCTCTGGCCAGCGTAGTAAGGAGGGCTTTTAACTAGGTTCCACAGAATATGGTGATCAAAACTCTCCCACAAGAAAGCACACAGTCCAGAGGAGAAAGGACTGGAAGAAGTAACTCAACTCTGGGAAAGGGCCAGAGCACCACAGGACTGCAAGTGGCACAAAATGGAAGTGAGTAGGTCAAAATGCAAAATACGTCTGATGCATGTATACAAATGTGAGAATATGGGGATCTTCTAAGGAGCTTCTAAAATGCCTCAGATACAAAAGGAAAGCATACAGGGAATGGAAGAATGAGCAGGTCACCAAAGAAGCATACCAGGAAATAGCAAGAACCTGCACAGACAAAACGAGGAAGGCAAAAATAAAGGATGAGCTGTACCTAGCAAAGGAAGTTAAGAACAAGAAAAGTATGTTGGCCAGAAAAGAAGGACCAAGGAAGCTGTGTGTTCCTTTTGCTAACAAGGCAAGGGGAACTCCTAACAGAAAATGCAAAGGAGGTGGAGCTACTCAAGAGCTACTTTGCCTCACACTTCACAAAAACATTAAGCTGCTGTCAGGCACATAAGTATTATCTGGATAAGGAAAGGGGTAAGTTGAGGGAAGAGATAACAAAAGAGACAGAGAGATTTTGTTGGGTCTGAATGACTTCAAGTCAGCAGGGCTGGAAGGACTTCATCCTAGGGTACTGAAAGAACTGTCAAAGGAAATCTTCATGAAGTTGTGGAAGATGGGTGAGGTAACAGAGTACTGGAAAAGGGCCAACATAGTGCCCCTCTTTAAAAAAAGGCAAAATGGAGAGAACATGGGGAACTACAGACTGGTTCACCCCACCTCAGTACTTGGGAATTTACTGAAGCATATCCTAATGAAGGCCATTTGTAAAGAGGAAAGGCTTATCAACAAGCAGCCAGCATGGATTTATGAAAAACAAATTGTGGCAAACTTGATCTTCTTTGACAAATTAACTCCTTTGGTGGATGAAGGGAATGCTGTGGATATAGTGTATCTGGACTTGAGAGTTTTTTGACAAGGTTCTGCATAACTGTCTCGTATACAAATTGGAGAAATGTGAGCTGGACGCTGTAACAGAGAGCCCGGGGCTCCCTGTTCCTTTAAGAGAAGAAGCAGCCTAGCCAGGGAGCACTGCAGGGCACCACAGCTGTAGGCCACCAGGGCAATAAGCTAATGGGGTAATTAGCAGGCACCTGCAGGCAGTCAGCTGACCAGATGTAGGCAGGGCCCTGGGGACATATAAGCTGAAGGCTGGGGTTGGCAAGGGAGGCTCTCCTTAGCAGCCACAGGAGTAGGAGCTCCTACCCAGGAAAGCCACCCAGAGATGTTGGGCCAATAGCTTCACTACCTGCAGGAACAGTGGGGTTCAGGGAGCTCATCAGGAACCCAGGATGCTGTGTTAAGAAGTGGCTGAGGGCTTGTGTTTGTTGTGTTTATACTGGCAGTTTGGGTTGGGACAGTAGGGGAGATTTAAGGAGATCCCATTAGTGCCTGATAGGCACACAATAGCTTTGAGGCCTACCAGGGGCAGGCTCAAGCTGTTATTGAGCTCAGAGTGGGCAGAGAATGCAAGGCAGCAGTGAGATGGGCCAGGGCCCTGAAGCCAGAGGGGCACAGACACACAGGGGCCTGGCAGCAACCCCAAAAGACAAGAAGGAGCTAGTGCTTCAGAGCCAGGTCCAATTTAGTGGGCCCAGGCTAGAAGCCTTAGAGAGATTAAAGGAGCAGAGGCTGAAGAGGCTGAAGCCTTAACAGAGGGAACAGTGGTACAGTAACACTTGTGAGGCATGGGGTGTGGTGTAGGGAAAGATTTGGAGTCATGCAATTAGCCCTTAAGGCTTTGGGTGCCCTGCCAGGCACAGTTGACTGCAGAGGCCCAGCAAGGGGCCTGAAACTATAGAGGCCTAGCGAGGGGCCGAGGATCAGTGAGGACTAGTAGGGTGCTGTGGACCTTAGTGGGGGTTCAGTGAAACCAAGGCCATGCAAAGGTCCATGGGCAGCCTCCCAATTTATCATCATTCCATCAAGGCGTGGCAGGTGAGACAGGAAGGCACACAAGGGGCGGAGCAGAGCATGGTCAGAAAGCCTTCAGGGGGCATCACAGCCACCCCTGGGGCCCCAATGTGTTACAAACACAACTACTATACAGTGGATAGATAATTGGTTCAACAGCTAGAAGCAAAGGGTAGTTATTAATGGATCCATGTCAGAATTGAAGGAAGTTTCAAGTAGAGTGCTATAGGGTCTGTCCTAGGCCCAGAGCTGTTCAGTGTGTTTATTAATGATTTGGATGCTGGCACAAAAAGCTTCTTGAACAAGTCTGCAGACAATACAAAGCTGGGAAGGACTGTGAACATGTTGGAGGATGTCAATTCAAAAGAATCTTGACAGATTGGAAAGTTGTGCTAGAGCTGGAGGGTGCAGTTTGATGCAGACAACTACAATCTGCTACAACTCAGGGAAAAATAATCAAAACCACAAATATAATATGGGTGACACCTGGCTGGATGGAAGCTGTATGGTAAAGGACTTGGTAGATCACTGACTGCAGTGTGATGCCACTACACAAAAGATGAATGTGGCTTTGGGATGCAGGACATTAGGTGCAAGACATGGAAGGTGATAGTGTCTTTGTATTTGGCACTGGTTAGACCTCAACTGGCAAACTGTGTGGAGTTCTGGTCTCCACATTTTAAAAAGGATGCGGAAAAGTTAGAGATGGTCCAGAGGCAGGCAACAAAGATGATAAAGGGTTTGGAAAGCAAGTCCTATGAAGATGTGGAGGGACTTAGGTATATTCAGCTTCTGGAAAAGGTGCCTAAGAAGGGGACATGAAAGCAGACTTCAACTACTTGAAGGACTGCTATAAAGAAGAGGGAAAGTGCCTTTTCTTTCTTGCTGCAGAAAGCAGGATGCAGAACAGTGTCTTGGAGTTCTATCAAAGTAAGTTTAGATTAGATATCCAGAAAAAGTCTTCACTGTTAGAATAGTGAGGCAATGGAATAGACTCTCCATCACTAGAGGTTCAAGAAGAGGTTGGACAGCCACTGGTCAAGGATGATGTAGGCATAGCTATGCCTATGTTCTACTATAGGTATTTTCCATGCTTCTGGGTTTTGCTTGTTACCCATGCCCACCCTTTCTGCTACATGTTGCAGGTTGTTTTTCAGCCTGCTTCAGAGGTATTGGGTGTTGGCTGCAGCCACGGCTGGGGACTTTGACTGGGGTGTGCCAATGCTCCTGCTGGCACCAGTAGTGGAGGTTCCTGGCTAGAGGGTCTTGCCCCTCCACTTGGGGTCAGACCAATCACCATATTTGGGGTCAGGAGGGAATTTTACCCCATGGTCAGACTAGTATGGACTGTGGGGGGTTTGTGTTCCTTTGTAGCAGGGGTGTAGGCCTCTACCCGAGATTTCTTCAGCATATACTGACAACATTTCACAGAAGCAGGACATTGGCTGCTGTGGTTCTCCTGCTTTACCTGTGGCAAGTTAAGGTCTGTGTTGTGTCAGGGTTGATGGTAGTTTTATGTAGAGTTCAGATTAGGGACTGTATAGGTTGGTTTGGACGGGGTTGATCCTGCCTCAGGCAGGGGTTGGACTAAATCAGTGTTTCCCAACCTTTTCCAAGGCACACTCACATTAACAAAATTTTTCCTCAGCACACCTGTTAAGGCATTCCCCATCCTCATACGTACTGTGGCTTATTACCATGGTAAAATTCCACGGCACACCTATTAATTTCTAATGGCACACTTTTGTGCCGCGGCATACTGGTTGGGAAACACTGGACTAAATGATCTTCAATGCTCCCTTCCAGCCCTACTTCTCTATGATTCTATGATGCATGGCAGTGCCACGCCTACGTGAACAAATTGGCAGATGATCAGCAACCCAACCATGGCTATTGTTCATGGAAAAATTCTCATGAGGTAGGCTAGGGCATATGCTTGCAGAGTGTCCTTTATTCTGTGTATCACTTACGCGCAAGATTTCTTGTTTGGGTTTTTCTGGATTAAAAAAAACCATTTGCCGTATTTACTCAAATACAAAATGACCCCCCCCAATCACCATGGGGGGAAAACGTTAATCTTATATACAAGGAAACCTCCTTAAATACATTATTTATCATTCATTTATGCCAAAAACAGCATTTGCTCAGCAATGGAAACCAACTATGAAGTTCACTGAAAGCAGCCAACACTGAACATGACTTTAAAACACTGGGCCCATATTGGGCAAACATGCTGATGGGAACCTCCTACAAGGAAAGATCAATGCAGCTCATCTGAATAAAATGTATCTGAGTGCCCACTGCATGTGGTCCCCCTCAGCGCCAACTCTTTTTCAAGGTAGACTTCCAATAATCAAATTCTTTACCTGAAATAATCAGATTCTTTACCTGGAAATTTATAACAAATTTATAAATTTTCCATATATAGAATCTAATTATTAAGGGGTCGTATTATATGCATGGCCATCTTGTATTTGAGTAAATATAATACAATCTAAATGCCAGGAAATGTCCATTTGAAACCAAAGTTGTTTTAGGTTCAAAGTGAACCAAAACTCCCTGCTGAAATTTACCAAATGGAAATATGAAAGATGTATTACTTCATCTTCGTCTTTTCAAGCTTCTCATTGACTTTTGAGCAAGGAAGCTTCTGTCCAAGTTCTAGAAGGAATTGTGCTGACACTTACAACACCATACTATCATCAGGGATGCTAGAGAGCAAAATAAACCCCCAGTTACTGGGTCAAAATGAAAACCTGCTATCGCAGGTCTGGCAATAAGGGAGCTTACTGCATTTTCTCACAATTCATATATGAGTTTCATAATGATGAAAGCCAACTGAAAAAAAGGTATTATTTTCAATTATTTACAATCAATAGCTACCAGCAGCTTTGAATCTTTCATACAAATACTCCAGACCATTAAACAGCTGTAAATCATACTTACTATTCAGACCTTCTTTGTTAACTATAGTGCTGCTTCCAAGTGCCTCATAATACTGCTGGTTACTCATCAGTGTATGCATGCCAAGAATAGCTACATTAAAAAGAAAAGAGAACAAAAATGAGTTATTGCAACCCCTCTCCTGGGAAAAAGATGGATCCTGGCGCAAAGCCTCACATCCATGACTGCCCAGAAATGATTTAAAATTCTATTTCAGCATTAAGTAATTTTTGTTTGTACATCGAAGAGCCAAGAAGACGGCACCTGTGCCCCTGTTCTGAGAATCAGACCCAGCTGACAATAGGTATTGATAGCACTGTGACCCTGTAACCAGCACGTCCCATTGCATGTTACATCAAGGTAGCATAAACTGTTTATGGAAAGGAACATGCATCAAGAAAGCGATCAGTATATTAATTCCAGAAAATATTAAATGGATAGTCAGCATGGGAATGGTTGCCCAGTAACAAGAGTGGGATGGACGATCTGAGCTGTAGCCTGACATGAAAGTGAGAGGAAGAATAAACATCAGAAAACACAAGCATCCATGCTCCAAAGTAGCGAGCCTTGCAGAAACCAGGCTGTGTGCTTTCAACACCAGACAACAGCATGGAACACAGCACACTCAGCAGGAGAATGAGACATTCCCACCCAGTCAAGTACAGAACAACATACTCATCCTAAAGTATAGCAGCTTTTTGTTTCCATGCATTCTCTTTGTACCCCAAAAAGAAAACTAGAAGGACAGCTTGGAATTTCTCTTTGTGCTTTAACATGTGGCAGTAGAAAACTGGATCGCAAAACCCTGATGAAGAGCTGATGTCCCTTTTGATTTACTCAAGGCAGAAACAAAAACAGTATAAACAGAATTAAAATGCAGCAAGAACAGAGAAACGAAATGTCAGATTTCACTCTAGTTTTCTGAATCAATGTGCAAATGGAGACAGAGACATGCCCCTCTGAATTTGCCCATGTTCTCTAATTTTAGCAGTCCAAGAGTTAAATAAATAGCACAAAGAAAACAGAGGCAACCAGCCAAACAAATATTTTACAGAAAAATCCTGCTGCTCAGAAAATCCATTTTGGAAAGAAAATGTCAAGGATTTAGAATGTTTATAAGATTTTATATTAAATGTTATAGATGTGTGTATGAACACATGTATTCAGGATGGATACCTCACTAGAAATAAGAACACGTCTTTACCTAAAATTAAAACAGACGTGGACCTACAGCAGGGTCCCCAACCTGGTTATGTCTCTTGCCTCATTCCATGAGCTGCTCTTTTAAGCTCTCCCTGGCACCACCAGCACAGCTGATGAATCATCCCTGTTTTGCATGGTATTTTGGCCAGAGACCTGGAAATCTCAGGGTTCTTGATACAGACCAGATCCTGAGGACTCCAGCTCACAAAAATAATTTCACTATTGTGAGTAGCCTCATAGAGTTTATTGGGACTGCACACCTGGGTACAACTATAAGCGGCAAATGAGTATCCATAGAATTGGGATCTCCATGAATGTGACAGGAAATACAAGAGGGATCCATCTGAAGGTTTCATTGTGCTGTGAAGTGCTTTTCATAACCAAAATACCTGCCCTGTTACATAGGAATGGCCACATTTCTATAGGTGCTGGGATAAATAACTGCTGACTTAGAACTACCAATATCCACAATTTAATTCATTAGGGCATTTAAATCCCTGATTCCACTTGCAAATTGGGTATATGGATGTCCTGTGACCTGAAGTGCAGGTGCAGATAATTACTGTCGTGAACTTGCATATGTCACTATGCTCCAGGTTTGCACCTGCAAGCAGGGAAACTCCTGCTGCCTGGAGACCTGGACCTTCTCACATATTAAACCAGGGCACAACATAGAGAGCAGCATATCATCATAAGTGAAGGAAGATTCCTACATGCTTGTGTTCCACTTTCTGTACAGAGGCAGCAGGAAGACAAATAACGCAGGCCCAGAAGTAAGTTCCCCAAGGTGTGGACGATGTAAGGAGAAGACGAAAAGAGGTATGAAGGGACAGATAGGCTTGATTTATTTCTGGGAGAACGCCATTAATTATAATATCATTATTCTTTTTGATTATGAATTGATTTCTGTTAAGGAAAAGGCATTGTATAAGTGTTTATGATTATCTAAAAATACTAGGTCACAGAGGAATGAATAGAGACATAGAATGTATGGCCTCAGTAATCCAACAGGGTTTGCCCCTCAAGTGACCCTAATGTACTAATGTATGCAGTGTGCTCTATATCCAGGCAGAAGTTATTTAACAATCTCTAGGAATGGAAATTTAGTTACTGTCAACACTGAGGTTCAGTACAAGTTGTACTGTACCAGGTCTTCTTTGGCTGCTTTCTCGGATATATAATCTTGGCAATATATATGGGATACTTGCACCGAAGAATAGTGTACCCTAGAATTTGCTATGAAGGAAAACTGCAGCTTTCAAAACAAAGTAATCATCACTGGAAGACGGGAAGGAACCCCTTGCTCTGGAGTTTAAAAAGCCATTTTTATAGCATAGCAGAACTTAGCTAACAGGACGGGGGTAGGGGGAAGCCAAGACAAAATGGTTTTGACAGAACACAACAGAAGCCTTAATGCACAACTGCATTCCTAATTTGGAATATGGCACTATACAGCAACAGCAAGTTCACTAGCATGGTTATCTTACAGGACCTCTGAGACTTTCAGTGAGATGGATGATGCCGTGAAGTATGGAAGGCACAGAATGTAAGCTGAAAAAAAGTTTAAACAGGTATGGGTCAGTACTGGAGAATTATTTATTAAATGTCGGTGAACATGAGTATCAGCAAGGGAAAATGCCAGTGTTTAGTCAATTTACTGAGATTTATAAACATGCATCCTTGGTAGGTATATGCTTAGGCATGTTTTCCCTCAAGGGCAAGCTGCTAATGCCTGTGCAGCACAGAGGCTCAGATGAACATCAAGCTTCAGTTTAACAACACCTAAGAGGTGTTGTCATTATCCTCAATATCTTTCCTCATGAGGGAAGAGCTCCAGGGCCCAGGGATGTGACCAGCGAAGACAAGGAAAAGTTGGCTGGTGGATCTTTCAGCCAGAGTTAAGCATGGTAATACTTTAGCTGTAGGCTGAAGCAGCTTGTCCTCTCTGCTGCTTCCTTGAGTTGGCTGAAGAGGAAAACCCGCCTTCTGTCTGACATACCTCTGTCAGTACACAAGAAGCTCGGACCAGAGCAGTGGTAACCACTCCAGGCCATGAGGACTTACAGAAGCAAAAGCCATATGCGATTTGCCCAGAACAAAAGTCCCAAGGGGTACCTGGGCCAAATCCAGCTGTTTACCAATACATGGAGGCTCAGAAAAAGGTAAACTCTTGGATGGGGGGGAGGAGTTTGGGGTGCTGAACACCTGGTCACACACTAATCTCCCAACTCTGCCATTTGACAAATGAAAGACAACAGGCCTAGCTCCTGTCCTGTACTGTATTTCTGCTTGCAGACAGAGAAGGGATGTATGAGATGA